AATCGTTGAAACAGTACAGGACAGAAACTCGTGACCCTCGAAAACTGCACGGACGTTTTGTGGAATCGCTGAAGATATAAGCCACTCGTTTCGACAATAAATCACGTAATTCGTTGGAAGACTGCAAGCAATAAGCCCGTATGGAAAAGAGATAAGCCACGTTCCTTCGGACGTAAAAGACTTGTTCGGTGGCTAAAATAGGTGCGCACCAATAAGTCTCCTGTTCTCCGAGACTCCAGCTAACTTGTCAGACGGGGCCAGTACTTCTTCTTTCGAGTGAATTGGGCTCCTTTTTCGTGTCAACAGGAACTGACTATCGGCAATGAGGTCCTTGTCAAGTCTAGGTCCTTTTTCAAGGCAATGGTGATGGTGTTTGCCTTTTTGGAGTGGTAGATGGTCAAGTCAAAGGTTCCTGTCACTGTGGTGAAGGTTGGAAGTATCAAAATTGACCAGGAGGTTGTGGAGATAAGACTTCAAAATGGGCCTTGAAATCACCACCAAATTCCAATGAAATCCAATGAATCCAACTGTAGCTGTAGTGTAGCACTGATTGTTGTAATGCGGAGATCCCCTTTGTCGGCCTGGAGGCTCTCCTTCCCTTAAAACTGCCTGAATTCTATGCGGTCTGTTAATCCAATAAGTTTCCTGGAAGGGTCAGTTCCAGTACTGAAGTAGTGGACTGGGTCTCGCTGAAACCCTTCCTCAGGTACAGCGGTAGTCAGGCAGTTCAGGGAGCCTTGTCGTGCCTCAGGAGTATCCAACACCTCCAGTAGGCACCAAACCAAGGACTTGGCCCTGTCAGTCAGACAGGAGGGCCAGCAGAGCTCTCTGTTGGGCCCTTTGGGCCAGCTCTCCTCAGGAGCTGGGGGCCTTCGTTATTCAATCGTGCAGTGGCAGTCTAGGAACAGTACTATCTGCTACCTCCTACTGCTTCTGCCCGGCCTCAACAGGATAGGTATCAACTGCTGCGGTATCAATGGGGCTACAAGCTAATCAGGATCGGTCTCAATCTTTCGTACTATTTTCTTAACTATGATGGAAAGGACGATCCTTTCTTGCTGCTTTGGCTGGAGATAAGCCAGCTGTGGGTGCTGGAGCTGTAGGCCAGCATAGCTGTTGGAGCTATCTCTGACGGGATCCAGAGCTCTCGCTCCTAAAAGTTATCGATACTTAAGCTCCCGATCTTCTGTTGATCTGCCATTTCGTGCACGCGATCAATTACGCGCTGAGTCATCGGTACTAGCCACGCCCGTGGTCTGGAAATCTCGCGTCCTGAGCGCAAGTCCATAACAACGTGTCCACCCTGAAAATTCCAAGCAGGGCGGAGATAGATGGCATCAATCGTTCGGGGATTCATCGTATTGTCTCCGTCTTGATTCACATTCACATAAGAACCAAACCCAAACTGGAGTTCTTTGTCATAATCAATGTGTCTGCCTGTAATGATGGTGTAGGGGCTCAATTGGTCTGAAACACCAAGCTTGGTCGAGACGATTGTCACCGAATGAGCGCCTTCCGTAACCATATTTCGGAGCATCACACGAGGCATTCTCTCAAAAGGCAAGTGTGCGTAGCAAATGCGCACTCGCTTCTTGATTATTCTGTTGTTTCGTTCCGCGGCATGCACATGTTCATCCACAGACGCGTAGTTCGTCGTGATTTGCATTTTACCTTTGACAGGATCGAGAATCTTCTTAAACTCCCCATCGCAGGAAACCACCGAGATACGAAATCCTGCCGCGTTATAGCTGCGCAAAATCTCATTGAAACCCGCAAGCACAGACTTCTTGCTTCGGTTCTCGATGTGAATGCAGTGCCTGTATCGTACAGACAGGTCAATTCCGGTTAGGAACACTTCCTTGTTCACGAACATCAAATCCATGCAGTATTCCAATTCCTTATGCATGGCCACTAGTGATCGGGGAATCTCTGCCCAATCAACTTTCACTGGGGCAGGACGCTGTCGCGTAACCCTTCCCTTCAGCGCACCCACGTCTTCTCCATACACGAGTACCATATTCCGAACATCCTTCTCAGTAACAGGACAATTCCGAATCACATTATGCTTGATGGCTTCTCGTAGAGTACGAATCGTAGGAGTTCCCATACGGAAATACAGCTGCCGAGCTTTCTCCATGCCGGCGCGTTCTCGCTGGGGAATCATCTTCAAATTTTCATCAACAGTCGGAACGGACTTCCCCACTCCTGCAGTTTCGGCAGGGGCCGTCTTCGACTTGACTTGGGCTAATTGGAGTAACGGATCGTCCTCCTTCATCCCTTCTTGTTTCCGCATTGCCGCAACGGCGTCAAGAAACTCTTTCGATACCTGATACATGTACATACCATTCTTCCGTCTTGTGAACTCGACGATCTTCCATGGTGTTTCCACGTAAACGATATCTGCTTTGCGGTTGTCGTACCACATAGGGAACGTATCGGACAAGTGTGTCCATCCCACGCAATTCATCAGGAACGACTTGTGAATAACGGCGGTTCCTGGTAACCCGGGTATATCACCCACTATACTGAACTTTCCAATTCCAACGTTCGTTTTCATGCCAATCGGTGTATCCAATTCCCGAATATTATGGCACATTCTTCCATCCTGCACAGTTGCCGCGAACGTCGATCCGCAATCCACTGCTAACATTGTTCCTTCGGGTAACTGCAAGAACATTGCACCACAGTCTTGCTTAACGCTGTCGGGTTGGGATCCCGCATCAAAACGAATACGATCCTCTTCGACTAACTCCTGACTGAGGTGATAGCCAAAATACTCGTCACTGCCGCTTAACTTATCGGCTATCTGACATCCGTGAAACTTCTGCTGTTCGTTGTACTTGAACATCATGAAAGCTTCGTATTCTTCCGGCGAAATCGTGATTGTTTGCATCCCCTGGAAGCTCGTACCTGGTTGACTCCAAGAGGTCTGCTGCGAACTTTGGCTGCTGGTCTGTTCACTCCTGCGCATCGGAGCGCTTTGAGTCACTGGCGTTGCCGCCTGCTGCTGCGGTGGAGCCGCATGCTTCTCCTGCATGTAGCTGTTGAACTTGTTCGAAGCCCAATCATCCCGCGCAATCTGGTTCTTTTTCGGGCAATCCGGCACCTTATGATCCGGGGCCCCGCAGCAATAACAAAACACTGGTTTCTTCGGTGCTTGCTGCGCAAAACTACTCCCTCCAGAGGAACTACCCTGATTGGAAGCGTTGTTCTTCGGCGGTGTTCCATCACTCCTACTCCCGCCACTCTGCCGGTTGGCCTTGTAGTTGGAAGCATACTTCGCAGTGTGGACAATATTCACTGCCTTTGCCAAATCCCGCGGGTATTCGTCCTGACCACGCGTATAACGCTCACTGAGATTGGTCTTCAAATCCTTGTACTTCGGATGGAAAGCGTTGTTCACCATAATGTAGGCCTGCAAGATTGCCGGACCTTGCTGGCGCCACGCTGTTTTCTGATCGCTGGTCCAGTTCTTCTCAGGGTCGAATCCAGGGAGCGTATCCATGAACTGGTTGAGCCAATGCGGCCCAAGGTATTTCGCCAATGTGTTAAAGGTATCTTGAACGCGGTAACCAAAAGTATCGGCTGATTCGTGTTCTTCCTGTTTGATCGCCACCAGATTGAATATCGCTTTTGTCAAGGTAGCGAATGCATAGGTTGCACCAGTCGGATCGTGGCTCAGCTTCTCTAATCGTAGGAGCAACACGACGGGATCCTTATCCAACTTCGACTCGAAATCTTCTTCCGACTTGAGTTTGTCAACCATTCCTAGCGTGCAGTACTTCGTCTGAATGAGTGTCACCATTCTGGTTCGGTTGAAACCAATCTTGCGCACTCTACCCCTCCATTCTTTCATCTCGGAGTTGTAGTTCTTTGCGAATGCATTGTTCTGGAGTTCCTTCTTTTCCGCATCCTTCTCCTCGGAGTACTTCAACTCTGGCTCGTCAAGTTGAATCGTCTTCAACTCTGTAATCTCGTACTGAATGTCTTGCGGCTATTCGTATTCCGCACACTCGTGTTTCAGTTTCTCTCTGATCAGCTTGGAGGACGCATACTGTTGCCTTCCGGACGAGTTAGGTGCATACTTGTACTCCACTGTCGTCGTCCGCCTCGTGTTGCTGTTGCTGTTGTTGTTCTTCTTCTTGGTCGACCCACTCCTGCCAGAGCCGTTGCCTCTGGTCTTCATGATGGACGACTTGTGTTGGAAACTTGTGGACAAAAGGAGCCGTAGATCTCCAACCGTAGCTCAAACGAAGTTATCGTTCTTTGATATGAGTCCAGCGCGTCGATGCGCACCTATCGGGTATACTTGGGGTGCGTCACTATGACATCACTCGGACGTCTGATGTGACACGGATGACGTCACGCGGACATCTGATGTGACACTGATGACGTCAGCAAAAAACGTCACACGATGACGTCAGAAAAATGACGTCACTGATTCGCGTTTTGAATCGGAATTTCGAATCGAGTCAAATGAGTCAATTTGACTCAATGGACTCAACAGGTGTCAGCGAGTTTCTTCGATCGAAAACGAAAGAAAAAGACTGACAATGGCGCTTTCAACCGGTCGTATCGGTAACACCGGTCGCTTTTGTTGTTATTGGAGTTGATAGCCGTGATGAGTGCACTCCTGCAGTCGGAATGATACCCTTGGCTTACCTGTAGACGGCCGGAAAGGCTTCGAATCGACTCGATGAGCCGGTTGCCGTCGCCATGATTTCACTGTTGTCTACTACTCGAATCGCTCGTTCGAAGCTGCTAGAGCCTCTTTCGAACTGGTTCCTTCACTCCTCAAGAGTACCTGAAGGTCTGTAATGTAACTGGTAACTGTGTAGACCGCCTTTTCTTTTTAGATGTTGGTTAAACACTAGAGAGACTATTTGGCCATGGTGGAGCTATTTTAAAAGTCAGTCTAAAAAGAAAAGTGAAGAATTCGCTTTTGGTGGTCCAGTCGATTTCGAACTTTAGCCCCGGATACTCATGACTCAACAGGCATCATGTATGTCACCGTGGCAGCAGCCCAAGGTTCAGACTGGGCAGCACACATATTGGGACTGCATTTTGCCCAAGGCATCAATGGAGTGGTCATGGATAAGTCGGTGGCCGCAGTTTGGCTAAAGAAGGCTCTTGGCGAATGTGCTCACAGGTATATGACGGATGATCAGAAGAAGCAGTCTCTGGAGCTGCTGAATGAGCTCAAAGCAAATGATAGCAGCTCCACATAGATTGTTGAAGATTCTCTCTGGTGAATGGATACTGTACAACAATAACAAGTACTAGTAATAAAATGATGTTTTCTTTGACACTACCGTCGTCCTCTCTATGCCATCAAATAATTGTTGTCTCATCATGCAGGCGACATGATGGCGGTTTGTCTTGTCGCCGACATAATAAGCTCTAACGCTAACTTTAATTTAAAATAAAAACGCAGGGAACCGGGGTACCGATATGCCATTGAGTTTCGTCGGGTCGGGCTCCTCCTGTGTGAGCTTTCACAAAGTGTCATGGCCGCCACCATGAGCACCAATACCACCAGCGTTAGAATTGCCGCCGATGATACATCTGATGGTACCGGTAGGGGCTCAGTGGCAGTGCCAAGCCCGAAAAAGAATTCCAAAGGACGTCAAGCCAAGCCAGTGCCACAGAAGACGACGGAGCAACAAGGTGCTGGCAAGGTTGACTTTGTCGCCGAAAACGGGGAAATTTATTGGGTGGTAAAAAACGTCTTGGAGCATCGAGTTGCCAAGAGCAAAAAGCAAGGAGGTGGAAAAACTTATGACTACCGAGTGGAATGGGAGGACTGGCCCAAAAAGGATCTTCAATGGTATCCGGAAGAAAACTTGAACCCTGTGGCCAAGGAGAGATACTGGGAACGACAAAAGGCTGCTCTTGAAACGAAGCAGCCGGCGGCAAAGCGAAGGAAAACCTCAAATGGTAGCAAAACGCCAACAACAACGCCAACAACAACTAGGAAAAGTCAGGAGCAGTCAACTACAGCAGAGGCTGGAAAATCCAAGACAGTAGGAAGCGCTTCCCCGAAGAAACCGACCAACAGAAACCTCAAAAAGAAGGTATCACCAGCAGCAGCCAGCAAGACGGATAACCAAAAGTCGCTTGAGGACGACGACGACAATATATACGAAGTTGAAGAGTTCCTGGAATATCGTCGGATTGATGGTGTCGATAAATTCAGGATCAAGTGGCGTGGTTACGAAAAGTACAAAGACAAAACTTGGTATGGCATGGACAGTTTTATTGGAGACACTGTCAATGAAGCAAATGAATTCAAAACAAAAGTGCAGCGATCACAGCTACAATCTGCATCTACCCCGACAGCAGATGATAGTTCAGCAACATACCGAATCCCTGTGGAAACCTTGGAGCGTCGTCTTTTGAAATCGACACAATGTCCAGTATGTTGCAACAACTTTTCCGCCAGCATTGAGTCTAAGCATTGCCCCATTATGAGTCAGGGATGTGGACATTCGGTTTGTCTCCAGTGCCTGTTCATGATGGACCAACGGAATGAAGCCATTGAGTGGTTGCCTTGTCCTGTTCCAGGATGCCAAACAGAACATGCGTTCTCCGCGAATCTACTCGACTCATCCAACGAGAACAAGGCCCTGATGGCCGTAGTTGCAGAAATCAGTCCTCTGTTCCGTGGGAGAAAGCCAGAGTTGTAACTGTCATAAAGACGACTGCCAGGCAAAGACAGCCGTCAACAACAACATCAACTTGCCCGCCAAATATGTTCACGGAGGGCGCAGCAATTCGATATCTGTTGTACGTTGCTCTTCTGCGATGGATGTCCCTTTCATCTTGTTGGCCTACAAAGTGTACAAGCCTGCTATCTAGCTGGCTACTAGAGTTGCAATGGCAGAGTTGGACACATGTGTAGCGAGCGCAATTTCTTTCCAAGGCAGAGCTCCGCTGTTGGCATTATGATGCATGATTTTGCTTGGTGCGAAAAAGCTTTTTGATCTGCTTCGCCGCTAGCGAATGGAGGTGCAAAGCAAAAGTTCGCTTCATGGGCTATCACTGGTGTGCACGTTTTTCGATCCTTTCTCGTGTAAGAAAAGGAGGCTGTTTACTAACCAGAGTTGTTAAACTAATAGTGTACTCTGTTGGTGTCCAAGTTTATTGCGATAGGTGTACGGTACGTATCGGTATGCCGCTGAGGATACCCCCCCCCGGCTGTCAGTGTCTGAACTAGCTAGAGGCTGTTAAAGATCATTGCAAAGAATGAAGAAACAAGTGGAGAAGGTTCTTGTCCTGGAGTCTTTGGAAAACCCCGTGTTGGTTGCGCGCTCGGATCTCTTGCTTTTCCTGAGCCTTTTCTTGGAATACCCACGGCTGTACTACCAAGTCTTCCAAGCCACTGAAAAGTTTGAAGGCGTCCAGTACAATTCCGATTTCTGCAATATCCTTTTGGTGAGTTGGACCCGTCGAAGAGGGTTGCCTGCATCAGGATTTAACTAAGCCAATCTTGTACCCTTGAAACTTAGCGATCGCTGCATCCATTTTCTCAGCAGGCGTGGCCAACAGATCAAAACTCTCTGACCTTTGGCAAACCAATGAATCTATTTTTCCTTCTTTCCACTCAACAATCTCGAACTCGGTAACACTGTTCCATGATGAGAGAGAGAGAGAGAGATCTTTTGGACACAAAATTATGATTATTGATGGCGACGTACAGTCGTACCTATTTCTTTCGCAGGGCATTTGATGTGGCGACTTGCATGCATAGTTCCGACGGTATTTGCACAACTTAATTATTGATACTAATACTCTCTCTGTCAAGAAGAAGACTATGGCATAGAGCAATCAGCGGGAGATGTGGGGTCATGCAGTGGAAGTGTCGACGAGAGGGTGTGTACAATCGTATTGCCAAATGCCAACGAAAAGTTGGTTTTTGGGTAAAATGTGAGTGTCAAAACGTCAAAAACGAGTGTAACGGCAAAAATGAAGGGAGCGCAGTGCCTTCCATTTGAATTCTTCCAGCCGAGTCCTTCCTCACATTTTCAAGTCAGAAAATTAAATTCAACCATCACCATGATGATGGCCAGTACTCCGCCGCCTGAACGAAGAGTGACAGTCAGACATTCCCCAGAAGATGAGAAAACTACTACTGGTAGCCAAGATGAACAGGAAGAGGCGGCTTGGATGAGTGTCTGGAAGTCGCCATGGTGGAGGCTGGGAGCGTTGGTGCTGCTGTTCTTCTTGGGTTTGATCATTGTTGCGAGTATCAAGCCCTTTGATCGGCTCGTGACCTTTTTGCTTCCAGTGGAAACCACTGGTCTACACGACAATAATCAACAGTCTGTGAATCACAATTCCACTGTGAACTCGAGTTATTCGAAGCATTACTCCCAGCTAGCGCCGCCAGCTCCATTCACCTTTCGACAGTGCTCGGACAATGCGACACTCTGCTGTAATGGACTAGAGAATGCCTGTGATTTGCGAATCAACGAGGTCATGTTAGCCACTGTACACAACGCCATGGCAACAAAGGAAGACGGATCCCTACTTGAACCCAACCATTTTCTGTCCCTTGAGCGTGCATTGGAAGCAGGCTATCGAGGGCTTCACTTGGAGGTTTGCAAGTGCAATGGCGTCTACGAGTTCTGCAATGGCGTTTGCCAGCTGGGATCACGAAATCCCATCGAAGTGTTCTTGAATATCGACCGATTTCTCCGTGATCATCGTGAAGAAGTCATTGTGCTACATCTTCAAATCAACAGCCATGTGCATCAAGAGGTCTCTCTCCAAGAGCTCTATCAAGTTATGCAGAATGCCACACAGTTCAACCGCAACTTGTACATTCAAAAGAGTAATCGAGCTCGCTGGCCTACATTACGGAAAATGATCGAGATGGACAAGGTAAGATTGCCCGCTCTGTGAGCAGTGATTAACTGTGTTAGTGCAGTCAGTCAACAATCCATCAAGCTATCAAGCTATGCAACTTTCTAATATCGTTGACCCGGTTGTACAGAGAGTACTTCTATTCCATTCAAACGGTCCATCTTGTGAAGACGAAGAATGCCCTTCCGGCATGCACAACTGGAACGACCACGTTCTGGAAACTGAAATGATACGGGTGCGGAAGGGCGGGCTGGGTGATCTGGGGACCACATGCAACCTTGAGATCCCAAGTCAAAATGCAAAGGCTGGAAAGCGCAAGTTTCTCGAGCTGAGACACTACCTATCCACACCTGACTACCAGGTTGCGGAAAGAATGAACCAATATGCATACATCTCCCAGCGAGTTGATTCATGTTCGATGGTCTCTAACAAAGACGTCAGCTTGTTGTCGGTGGACTACTGGAGCCTTGGCACCGATGTCATTGAGTTTGCAATGAGACAAAACAAAGGAAGGGTTTCCATTGCTCACTAGCTACTAGTAGCTTGTTTTCACGCACCGGTAGCACAGCAAACCATCACTTAATCTGACTGTAAAGGAAGGCACCCGGTTTGTAGCAGAGCACAAACTGCTGTTACGATGTACTGTAGAACTATAATAGGCAAAGAGAGATCACTACCAATACCGGCCAGCTAGGAAGTCGTTTGTCTTCTCTATAGTATAGTACTAGTAATGCTTAATCTAGCAGCTCGCAAATAAGGAGCGCATCTGTTGTTGTCAGAAACTACTTCATTGCCTGCGTCGGTGGGGGATGCATCAATCACTTCTCGGTTGACTTGACAGATGCATTCGATACATTGGTCAGTTTCATGAGCCAATATTGCGACACCTCAGCAGCCTTGGCCTTCATAAAGGTTTCATTTTCCATAATAGCCTGGCAAGCGGCGGCAATCTCATCTTCGACGGCCTTCTTGTTGGCAAGGTTCTCTTCCTGCTTCTGGAGGCGCAACGCCTCCATTTCGGTGACTTGTCGTTCATTTCGCGCCAAGTGTCCTTCCATCGCCACCGGATCGTTGATGGACCCGACAGACGACTCGATGGCCTCAACTTCTCGCAATCGTAAAGCTAGTTTCGCTTCATGCGTCTGTCTTTCACGTTCCATCGTCTCCTCAAGCTTCTCCTTCTTGGCTTCCAGGATCTGCAGCTTTTCCACGCACTCTGAGAATTGTTGTTTTGCAGCGTCTAGCTCATCAAGTGCCTGCTGGTAGTCTTGTCCAGCCTTGTTGGTTCTTGCGACGAGACGTTCCTTGAACTGAATAAGTGTTGGGTGCACCACTGAGGAGAGATCGACTCCGAGGAGCTTGTTTTGATCCGTTTCCAGAGCTTGGCTCTTGTCGAGAACAACCTTGAGTTTTGCCGCATGTTTCTCCATTTCGGGGGCCAAGGCGATCTCTGACAAGCTAATGTGGTAGGCTGCGATGGAATCCTCCAACTGGGTGTAGAGACTGTTCAGCTGGGCCTCGTCTTCCCAAACGGATTGGCGAAGCTGTTCTTTCTGTTTGTTGGCGCGTTCCATGGCTTCCTTGACCCCAATGAGCTCGCTTTCCAGCTTGTACATGTCGCCCTTTGATAGATCTTGGCTCCCCAGGGTCTTTTTCAGGTGTTCGATAGTCTCATTTTTCTTTTCGAGTATCTTGTTCTTGGCGGCTAAATCTTCTTTGAACTTTTTGATCTTTTGTTGGAGACCCGAAACGTGATCATCCAACTGGCGGTTGAGGTCTCGGAATTGTTCCAGATCGACTTTGAAGTCTTCTTGCTTCTTGATCAAAAGAGGAAGCCTTGAAGCGGAGAAATGGCGAAAGAGACAAAGTAAGTGAGATTTGATTTACACAGAACCAAACCATGGCTGCAAAAAAGCAAGCCCGTTGTAGTCTGATACTTACTCGTCTGTGTCTTGTATCATTTTGTTCATCTGCTCCACTATTGTCGCGTTCAAATCCGTCATTCGTTCAATTTCCTGTTCAATGTATCCGTCATCTTGTTCGAATCGCATGGTGAGGGCCTGTTGTAGATCTCGTTGCATCTGTTCGTCCTCTGCCATAAAGGCATTATAGGACTTTTCGAGAAAGGAGAAGAAGACCTTGTCCGTGTTGATTTGGAGTTCTTGGAGAGTTTCAAAGGGCTTGCTATCTTCAATGACGATTTCTTCGTCGACGTCTTCTTCTAGAACTTCTAGCAATTCCACCAACCACACCAATGCCGCGAGCAGTGTCGGCCAGGTATGAGTGGATCCTGCTGCTACCAGTGCCGTCTTGGATACGGGAATGGGATATCCGAGTGCCTTGAAATTCATGGCAATTTCATCCTCCAGTTTCATGGCATTGGAATCCTTTGCATTACTAGTGACAGAACTACCAGTGGTCTGTTGAAAGCTGGGGTCAATTTTGCGGAGTAAAAAGGTGACGATTTGAGCAAAATCTCTTCCGGAAGGTCTGGCCAGACACTTTTGCGAGACGGGATATTCGTAGCCACTTTGGAGTAGATAGTTGAGTAGTTTCTTGATACAGTCTTGTTGGAAGCCCTTGTCGTGAATGGGTCGAGGATCGGTCCGAACCACAGGAGGAGGAGCGGCTGCTGCTGCCGGTGGAAGCGCGGATCGCATGGGAGAGTAATTTGCTGCAGTATGTTCCGTGGCAGACATTGTCGTTCGTCGATTATTGTCGCCTCTTGTTTTGCGTCTACTACTACTGGCTTGAGTCGGTGCGGCCAGACCAGGACTTGGAGGAGGCACCCTGTTGTCACGGCCCACTCGAGGAATCATGGACTTTCGACTCTTGCTCCGTGTATTTCGACTGCCCTTTTGGGCGCTGTTGGGAGGAAGATCTCCATTGTCATGTCGATTTGGCGCTGTGTTGCTGACAACGCCAAGCGTTTGACGACGGCTTCCGCCTCGGGCAGTTGGCATGGTGTTGACTGATGAAAATGATCAAAATGGCAGGTCCCTTCCCTGCAGTCGCAAGCTTCGATCGTTCGATTTTCGAGCCAAATCCATTCTGGACCCGATTTGAATGAGCCACGAATGGCGAGGAGGGCGAAACACTTCCGGTCACACTTTCAGTCGCGTACGTCAGTCGGAGGCAACCCCACCCGAGAATGTCAAGCCGTACCAGTATCTACACCAATCCTTCTGGCAAATGCAGCAACAACGATCATCAGTCGACATCTTGGTTCGAAACACAGGCAAAAGAAATATTATCATGAGACAAGGGAGCTTTGTGTCTACGCGGTGGTCCGTTTTCGCTCAAGTCTTGGCACTCGTTTTCATCTTTCCGCTTGCCCGTGCCTTTGTCGCAACCACCCCACGACCGTCAAAGAACCGTGCCCGACTGGCAATGGCGTCGCAATTGGATGATGCCCTGCTGGACCAAGTTCTCGATGTTGCGATCGACGCTTCCAAGAAGGCTGGAGAAATCATTATTGGGAATGCCGGACCAACAGAAGTGACAGAGCGGAAGGCCAATAGCCGAGACCTTTTGACTTTGATTGATCCACTCTGTGAAAAGGTAGGATGATTATTATTATGGAAACATTGATTCACTTCGTAAAAATGATACTACTTACCAATAACTATACATGTACTCTTTGTAATCTATCTGTTTGTGTTTCCAGACCATCAAGGAAACAGTATTGGCGTCCTTTCCTGACCACGATTTCCTGGGAGAAGAAGACGTCCCACCTGGCAAGGAAGCGAGTGCTGCTGCGATTGCATCCAAGTTGGAATCTGCGAGTAATAGCTGGCTTTGGGTTGTAGGTGCGTTCCAATTCAATTCAAACTTGTTTTATTTCTTATTTGTCATTCACGCGCCACCATATATATTTCTCTGTCATCTGGTTATGCAGATCCCATTGATGGAACCACGAATTTTGTGCATGGAATGCCCCTCAATTGTCCTTCCGTAGCGGCGTCCTTCAATGGAGAGGTTGTAGGTAAGAACCAGTCGCCAAGGACACCATCGTCCTGAAGCTAGCTAGCACAAAAAATGTCAAATCCAACAATATACGCCTGCTGAATTGATTTTGCTCTGCCGCCGCCCCAAGTTGGTGTCATTTTTGATCCATATCGAGACGAACTGTTTACAGCCGTAAAGGGACGTGGTGCACAGATGAATGGAGAACCAATATCAGTCGGCAAACAAGATTGCATTGGTGATGCCATTGTAGCCATGGGGAGTCCACCTGGAGAAGAATCTATGCAAATGAGTATGAAAGCTGTACAAGTCTTGATGCCAAAAGTAAGGACTCTTCGAATGATTGGAAGTGCCGCAATAATGCTGGCTTGGGTCGCCAATGGACGCTTGACATGCTATTGGGAATACGATTTGAGTTCGTGGGACATTGCCGCAGGAGCTCTCATTATCCAAGAGGCGGGGGGTAAGTTCACAGACCTCGCAGGAAACGATTTTTCGTTGCAAACCAGGAAGATTATTGGTTGCGCCCCCGCTGTACATGACGAGATATTACGAGTTTTACGCGAGGAAGCTGGGATCGTCTAAGAGATTACGCGATGCCAATTGAGTACCACACCAGGTACCGTACTACATGGGAGGCGAACCTGATAGAGGCTAAAAGCAAAAAGAAGCTGTGATGCTCTCAAACCAACCAACAAAAATGAAGTAATGCACAAATGTAGATTGGTGCCGTAGCTCACTCCAATTTCCTTTACTCATTCCTCTTCTTCTTCCTCGTCTCCATCAAGTTCTTCGTCGTCGTCATTGCCATCGCCCTCTTCTTCACTAGCGTCCTCGTCTTCGGCATCGTCCTCTTTCGATTCTGTCTCGTCCTCATCAGTTGTTGTCGTATCGGCGCTGTCATCTGTAGTGCTTTCATCGCTTTGCTGCGCTTTCGCGGCTTCGTACTTATCCATGGCAGGATTCTTGAACGGCCTTTCGAGATTCCTACCCAGTACATAAACCTGGAACAGTGGGCTGTAGACCAAGTTGATGAGACCAGTCACCGTTGTGACCATGAGAGGTTGTATTTGTTCCATCTTGAAATGGAGGAACCACATAAAGCACATGTTAAAGAGCAAGCCACCTTGCATGCCTTTGGCCTGCTTCAAATCGTATTCCAGATTTGTTGATTCAGAGGATAAGAAAGATGATGCCAAGTTTTTCATCATTGCATTGGTGCTGTCCTGGCCTTGCAGTTGTTGTTGTATGAGGTTGCTCACTGGATTCGAAAGTTTTATGGGAGTTCGGTCGTTTTCTGCTTTGGCTCTGATGCGTACGTATAACAAGAATGCCTGCAATAGGAAAAGGTATCCGAGGAATGCAAAGCTGGAGACCCGGCAGGATATATTTTGCAAAATGCCATGAGAAGGTCTCATTCAACCAATATTTGCCCGGTCATGTCGTACCAGCACTTACCGAGCCACTCGCACAACTGTCGGGTCGTATAAACTGATCTTTTTGGAAAGCGCCATGACACCAAACGTAGCATATAGTCCAAGCATCGGAGATGCAACCAATGGCTCATCAAATTCGCCAGATTCCTCCAGTTCAGCACCAACAGGTTCTTCCTCTTCTTCCTCCTCAAGATCATCTTCGTCGTCTTCTAAATCCTCCTCCTCCTCCTCCTCACCATCTTCATCTAGTTGCTCATCATTCTCTTCTTCTTCTTCATCCACTTCTTTGTCCTTGTCACCATCTTCGGCAGCTTCCTGGGAACCACCTCTCAGGCGGTCTTCTAATAAGATGCTCGAAAGTGTCAAATCCCTCCCAAAATTAGCAGTCAATGGTTGTCGGTTCTTACTCCAAATAAAACATTCACGGCTTTTTTGAAACCCCCAAGGCTTCACACCATTGTCGAAAAGCGCTGGTGATAGCAAAGCCTCCCTCAGATTCGTTGCATCAACCGAGGGGAGGAAGAAGGCAGCAAGAAAGGAAAAATTTATACACCTCTTGGTTGCAATCCAACCATGCCTACTGCAATTATTCCTGGGCTCCATTCTTCTAGCTAGATAGCATCCAGAGTTGTGCTAAATGAACTTTAATAGACGGGGTCCTTTTTGATGTTGGGATCAGCCTTTTTGCATTCGATGGATGGTGTTCGCAGGTTGTTGCCAAGTGGCAAGTGGCGATCAAAGATCCGAGCAAGTGCCAATGATTGGATGCCGTTGGATCTTTTGTCATCGTGTGGTCTGTGGCCGGAGGTTCACGAAAGATATCAAACACGCTCGTGACTTGACTTTTGCTTGTTCAAACATGCAACCAATTCGATCTCGGTTTGCCAAACCAGAAGGGGATATAGGTACGGCACAGTTGTTGTAGCTTCTCAAGAATACCTCTGCCACCAGTTGGCGAACCTGGAGTTGGTTGCAGGATTCACTGAAGTGTTACTTGGGCCGGTCAAAGTTGGGTTTTGGAATGCCCAGGGTAACAATTTCAAAATACAAAACACCCGCAAGCTAGCTCATGTCGGTACCTGATACATGTACGGTAGTGAGTATACAGGTATCCGTACAGACTACTCCACATACATTGCAGTTACAACTTTTGCGTCGTCGACTATTCAGGACCCGGGGATACGGTACAGCCATGCAGGTCATCATCTGGCATCTTCTGGCTGTTGCTGCGGTAATGAAGTCACGTACACCCTAGCCTGCGGGAACACAGAGGTCCATGTGTCTGCCATGTCCTTGGTGAATTCTGGATGGTTTTCTTCTAATCGGGCTGGTGAGTCTGCCCAACAAACAATCAAGGTATTGACGGCACCCCGAACAACACTCATCATGATCGAGCATACAATCACTCCAATCAGAAAGCCAAAACTGCAAGGCAGAGACGAGTGTCAGTCGAGCCCATGAGACGTCAAGAAGTGACAAAGGTTGCGTGACAAGCCAACAATTAAATGGTCATGCTTACCCTAGCGCCAAGAAAGGGGCATGAGGCAGAGGGCCAAACAAGAATGACGTATTGATCTCCCACTGTTCTGGCTCTCGTCCTTTGGCCTCTGCATCAAAAACATCAGGTTCCTTCATGGAATCGATCAGCCTCTCCAGGCCCATAGATGCCAACCCAGTACAGCAACCTACGCTGAATGTTGTAAAGGTGAGAACCGAACTAATAAGATCATTCGTCACGAACGTCTCCCATCCTCTAGCCCGGAAGAGTTCCAACACCATCTTTCCACTTTGCAGATAGGAGTACCCGTAAAGCCCACAAAAGACATAGCTCCAGTGGTTGAAGTAATCCAATACGTCCTCGAACAGCTTGATGAGACAATCCAGGATGCACGAGAGCATCTCGCACCCTTCACAGTTGTCGGCTCTACGATCTCGTTGTTGTTTGGCACCCTCAACGAAGTAGCGTATCACCCGAACAACAGCCATGAGGAGCGATCCGAAACAGATGGAGCCAAAGCTAAACGTGAAGCTTCGATAAAGAGACGACCAAATGGCTGACGAACAGCAGTTTCTTGCATGGCCGTAGTCAAAACACCATGTTCCCATCACCCCAGCCACCGTTACTTGAATCAAATTCTGAAACAGAGTCTCATTAGCTCCGAGCAACATAAATGTTGCCTCCACAAGAGCAGCAGAACCATCGTTTACTTACGTTAATCACTTGGCTTGTCCACAATAGAGAAACGAATAGAAAGAAGAAGGCCGGCCCTTGAGCGTCACAATCGTCTTCCGTCGACATGTCGGGGCACTGCGTCTGGCCAATATAGAGCATCGTCCCACATACAACATAGAACCAGAAGAAGACCCAAAGGAATCCAATCTCTGCCAGACCGAGTGCCACAATATAGATTGCACAGTTTGACTGTACTCCTTGCAATGAGACACGCAAGTTGACGGCTGAATATGGGATCAATCGCCATGCTGCTCGAATATAGTAAGCAACGACACTGAGAACTCCAACAGCCAACATCAAAGACACAGGTGATGGATTGGATATCACCATCATGCCCATAAGAATGCAGGCATCGACGAACCATCCAATCAGACACAAGGTCACCATAAAGTGGGAGCAGGGTCGAATGATTGTCGTGACGATGAATAAGGCCATAGAAAAGGCCACCAGCGTTGTCGGATAGAGTAGATAGGTGATAATTCGTGCCGGGTAGACGCTGAGATAGGTAGCAGCAAAAGCGACAAATGTCTCAAAGTCTTGAATATCCGAAGCGCTGGTATCAGGGTCCTTTTCAATTTCTGCCTTGATTTTCTCAAAGTCCATCATTGCGTATCCTTTGGGGGCGATTGTGAATCCCAAGGTCAACACGACGATCAATTGCACCCAGAAAAGAATGGCAAAGGGGACATCTCGGTAGACTGGCTCTTCTTGTTTGTCGCTGAAAGAGGCAGTAAGATCTGCACTAAGGGCCCCTCGGATCAATAGTGGATCACCTTGAACATGGTTGGACGACTGCGACCCGTCGACTATAGCCGTAGCAGGTAGAACAGCCGCTTCATCAAAGATCACCGTTTCCGGTTGTGCCGTTCCATACAACGGAGTGGCAACTAATAATGGTGCCGAATCATCCATGGAGGGTGTGTATGTGTGATCGACTTTAGCTGTCGTCGAGGGGATCTCAGATGTCTCAACGTTGGTGGGATGGGTGGTCATTATCAAAAGATCCACCGAGAAACATTCAAATCAAATCAACACTCTGTTCTGTGCCCTTGTAAAAATAAGCTAGATAGATAGCCTCTACGTTTGGAAATGATAGGTTCTTTCGTCTTGATTCCCGTCGAACAAAGCTAATGTATTCCTACACCTCTACAAAGGGGAGAGTCCTATCAATCTGTTCGCTTCCACAAGAATGAGGATCCTGTTTGTGATTATTTGTGACAGCGTTTCGATGCTTCCTGTTGCTTCTTACGAAGCAATAAACCCGTTGGGCTGTCTTGGCATTGCAACGTTGATAAGGAAAATCGATCCTTGCTTGGGGCCTTCAAAATATCCACGTTTCATATGTCTGTGCGTCAACCGTAAGTATCTTTTCGCAGTTGCGTGGCACCACCAAAGCCACAAACCAAAACACTCCGCTGGTTTTCCTGCACCGTCGATCCTTTGCTAACACAAGTCATAAATAGCACCAAGCAGTAGCTTTCAGTGAAAATAACAACCGAAACCATGGAGCAAACATGTAAGTTGATGCCCCCGTCTCCTTCCCTGTCGATGAACTGGTTTACCTGGGGTCATCTTGTTCGCTTTGGCGCTCTTTGGGAAATTTGCCTCTCATTTCCAAGTGTTTTTTTTTTCAGACATTATGATCAAGCCTGATGGCGTCCAACGTGGACTTGTTGGTGAAATCATCAAGCGCTTTGAACAAAAGGGTTACAAGTTGGTTGCCATGAAATTGACTTCTCCTGGAGAGGAACACATGAAGAAGCACTATGCTGATTTGTCCAGCAAGGGTTTCTTTGCCGGTCTTATTGCCTACATGACCTCTGGACCCGTTGTGGCCATGGTCTGGGAGGGCAAGAATGCCGTCGCCGAAGGACGCAAGATGCTTGGTGCTACCATGCCCAGTGAATCCGCCATGGGAACCATTCGTGGTGATTACTGCATTGAGGTTGGACGCAATATCTGCCACGGAAGTGACGCCGTCGAATCGGCCAAGAAGGAAATTGCATTGTGGTTCCCCGAGGGAGTTACCAGTTGGAGCAGCTGCGAATCTTCCTGGGTGTACGAGTAAATCATCAGTCGTCAACCTGCGAGAAAATCATGAGAAGAGTACAATGGTACGGTAGAAATCAAAACACTACTACTAGTAGGTCAGCTAACCAAAAAACCAATCTGCTTTTGCAGCAACAAGAGCAAAATTGAAGAACAAATTATACAATTCACCGGAAGTGGTTTTTCCTCTTTGCGCAATTATTCTTGTGTGGCAAGCATGGATGCGTTGGCGTCGCTTGTGAGGTTTTTCTGTGAATCCTGTGGCGTCCGCATCGTTTATCTTTATTAGTTAGAAGTAAGATTGAACGTTGACAACCCGTGTTGTGATCAATGCAGGTTATCTCCTGATGAGTGCGTTGTCTTCCTGGAGAATTCTTTGCTCATCCCATTCCCAGTGAGGCGTGCTTCACGAGTTTCTTGGGTTTAGTTAGTTAGTTGCACATGTACAATACGGTAGAGATTAGGAATCGATCATCCTGGGACAAATCCACACAGTACATACAAGTCCTCGCGGATGTCTCAAATCGAGGGACGAAAACCTTGCACTGGAATCAGAATCAAATACGCTACCTTTCGCATTGGGAACCTTCCTTTTGGTGTCCAATGATGAGCAGTGGTTAGCCGTACCGGAACGCACCTATACCGTAGGTACCTGGTACTGCTTTTCGGCCATGGCGGCAGTCGAGGCGTCTCCCAGCAATGGGGTAGCTCGCTGCTGGTAGGAGGTCGTTCAGTCGCATGCATATTTTATGGCAAGCAAGTCCATCGAAACTGATGAGAAGACCGGTCATGGCGCCGATGTTGCGGCCAGCTCAAGTGGTTAGGTACAACCGGTGCCTTTACCGTATCTTGGATCTTGGGAGCTACCGGTATCTTGGAGGCCCGAGGTGACCGTTTTTCAAGCAAGTTCGCGACCCTTCTAGAATGTTCGACTGCCGTAGGTAGAATTAGTACTGCACCAGAATTCTTCTGAGACAACTTGCCATTTTCTTCGATTGGTGCTGTCACAACTCTCCAAGTTCTTGAGCAAGCCGATGGAAGAAGCAGACCCAGCCATCAATCCCAATAGACATCTTGCACCTCCGGTTGGTGTAGCAGCAGGGTTTGTCATTATCACCTCAAAAAAGAGGCGAGAAGAATTCTAGCCAGAGTGAAGAAGAAAGGTGAGTCAATGATGTATCCTTTGCTTGGATATCATTTCATACCCAAGGGTTCGCACCAAGTAGCGCAAATCATTGCTTTTTCGAAACAACTTCATCTTATCCTTTAGCCGACTGGGCTTTCGTTTGGTTTCGTTCCTTTTCTTTCCTTTTCTGTGGTTCAGATATGACCAAGACCAACTACCGCACAATGAACCTGTTGCTACTACTTTCGGGTGCATCCATTTTGATGTCGGTTTGCCATGGATATGCATCAGGAGTTCCTCCCGTGGATCGACGTGCTTTGGCAGGTTTGTGGAAGTTAACCCCTTCTGTCTTGTCCATCAAAGAGTTTACCGTGCACCCCCTTAAACCACCTCAAAAGAAACAAGATGAAGTGCACCTGATGCTGAAGGAAGACGGTAGTTTTACCCGCTATGAAGTGGACCCTGACGACGAGGCAGAAGGAGGAACTGACGTTGACAAGTCTTGGAATCAGTACCTCAAGAAAGATCAGAATCAACCCGTCAAAACGCTCTTCAAGGGTACGTGGGACTACAGAGATGGCGAACTCATTCTAGCTGCTGACCGAGATGAACAAAAAGCCAAAAGTGACAACTACAATGCAGGTGAAGATGATACTCAGCACAAGGCAACCGTCAAGCAGCAAAACTTGTTCTGGAAAAAAGGAAAGGATACTATCCTCGTTGGAGCGGTAGTGGCCACTCAAACCAGAGCCAGTACCAACTATAATATACCAAATGCCACATCTGCTGTTTCTCCCAAACAGCAACAAGAACAACAACCCACGTCATCAAAACGGCAACAAAAGCTTAGTGTCCCCATGGGCTCCGTACAGGTTGGTAAATTCTTTTATCCCAAGAACCACCCATCTTTCTTTGATCAACCCATCTTTCAACCCAAAAGATTTGGAACCTTTCAGCTCAAGCAAGTTCTCGGCAGTTTTCTCAAAGACGAGGAGGATGACAAGCTCATTGAAAAGTTTCGCAACAAGGACTTCCACAATAAACGATTCTTTCTCACATCATCTCCTATTGAACCACGACGACCCAAAGGCAACGTTCGGTGGTCCATCAAGTACAACAAATACGTCGGTACGTTCCTGATGTGTATGCCCCAACAGTGCTTTTGCTCGTAACCTGATTGCTCATTCGCTTGCTTCCTCTTGTCATTCTCGTGCAACAATGGATGCTTTTCAGAGGACCCGCCGTCCAAGGAAGCCAAGAAGGCTGCCGATGCCGAAAAGAATCGTCTGGTATCCACCATTCGCGTCATGAAGGTCATGATTCATGCCAACAATACGTTTAGTACCTTGGCGGGTTTGGGAGATACCACAGTACTACGAGGACGATTCAATGTCATTGGAGAAAAACGAGACAACGTCTGGATGCAATCGCTACGGTTTGGATTTGGACGCTCTGTTTCGGGATCCACCTACAGTGAGGGGAATGCCCTAGGAGAGGAAACCAAATGTTATTGGGGAAAGATCTCGTATGAAGATGAGGAAGACGAAGGAAAAGAACCAAACATCAATAACAACGACCCAACAGCGAGAGCCGCGTCAGCAAATGATGACAATGACACTACAGAGGAAAAGCCGAAACGATTACTCGTCAAGGGAACCGTCTTGGTTGGCTGGGGTCTGGAACCACAACCAATTGCGAGCTTCATCATGCGGGAAGCAGATGATGATGACGAGGAGGAAGAGGACGAGGAAGAAGACGGGAACGACACGTCAACCAACACTGATGAGCTAGATGGAGACGATCCTTGGTCCAGCCCCGATGCTTTCCAGTAGTTGTTGATTGGATTGTTCGCCCATCCATCAATTCTGTCCACTCTCCGATGCACGTTCGACCACGATGACTTGACACCTCTGATCTGACATTGACAGGACAAAAAGCAACTGATCACTGTCGTCATCATAGTATCCACTTCTCCTTCAAGCTTGGGTGTGCGCTGCTCTTCACAGGCACTCTGGATCTCTTCAGTGTTCGCCCCGCCACATACTAGTAGACTGACGCCTTCTTGTTCGCGAGAAGTGAGACTGAAGTAGAAGTGAAACCTCTCGCAACATAGTTACATTTACATAGATCAATGTCATTACTATTATTACACTATTAGTACTAGCTAGCTAGATGGGCAAGCAGTTTGCTCGTGAATGCTCTCAATGCACATGTAGAACTCATTTATATTATTCAATGTTGTAAAAGCTGTGGTGTTCGTGAAATGCGAGGCACCAAAACCGGTTGCTACGAGCAGTATAGGTAATTGGGTCTTTGGTAATAGCTCTCATGGTATGTACAAATCGAACGGCCGCATGGGAACACGGGTATGAATTGTATGTACAGGTCGAATGGTGAATGAAATGAACGTAGAGAGGATCGTCGTATTCACAAATATTCATTGTTTCTTGTTTCGGTTAGAAGAATGCAGGATTCACCAGCATTTTCACGAGTCTCAGAACATTAGCAGTCTGGGACCTTCGTGAACACATAAGTAGACCCGTGGTGGCCTTGCATAATGCGCAGATTCTCGTCAATGTAGAGGGTATCGCAGTAGACTTCTCCATGCCCCCCAATGGGGCGCTTGAAGAAGTAACTCATGATTGGTGCGCTGTCGTCGTTGCTCTCATTCGAACATGTTGACGTGGATGACGGCGAAGGGGGATGATCCTCCACGTCATTGGTGGTAATGCTGTTACCAGTGTTGGAGTCTACACTCGTAGTGGTGGTGTAGGCTCCAAGCAATACCTTGGCTGCTAACAGGTTGGCCATGGCCTTCAGGTCTCGACTGGGGGCAAGGGACTCATCAAAGATCTGCTTCCAGATCTCAGCGTCCGCTACCTCGTCTTGCACTTCCATAGATCCACCAGTGAACCAAATGGACATGCGGTTGGGACACTTGGGATCGGCCACCATGTAGCCATGGTTGGTCATCAGGCCACGGATCGGGCGGGTAACCACAAACTCATCGTCGCCATGGCTTGCGTCGGCAGTCTTGGGTTCCGTCCCGTTACGTGTTTGGTTGGCTTCGATCGTAAACGCCACAACAATGCTGAAGCAAGGAGAAAGAGAGGAAAAATGGTAAGCCAAAGCCGAGATTTGCGACTGGCCAATCCTCAATAGCTTACTTACTCATAATGGTGAATAGGATTGTGACTTTTTCTTCCTCGGTGCTGTTTCAGTTCCTTGGCTAATCGGTGCGGGAACGACGGGGGCTTGCTCTTGGGATCCATGACCCGAACATTGTTCATGACAGCTCGAATAGAACACCTCAAGTTGCTTGGACGGAACATATCAAAAGACATTCGCCCCAAGGTGTAGATGCTTTCGCCATTCTCGTTTCGCCCGAGGCATTCTGAATAGGTAGGTTTGGAGAGAGTCAGCCACGTGCCGTGGGCGCCGCAAAGATGGCTCTTCCTGTTGGTATAGCTACTACCAGGGAACCCCGAAACGTACACGGATCGTAGCTGCTCCAGACAGCGTTGGAACTCAGCAGTGGTGGTGTCGCCACCCGTCTTTTGTAGTTGTTCAATGAAGCGATCTTTGAGCAGTGTCACCATTTCCTGGGTCAAGTAGGGTCTCAAAGACGAGGAAACAATCATTCCAGAATCACATTTTTCACTGTTAGGATCAGGAAGCCTGCGTTTCTTGCTGCTTGGGTTGTCTTCTTCTGGACTGCTACCACTGCCAGCATCAGTTGGAGTGCAAGTCTGCTTCTTCTTGGCATCGACCCACCATTTGGTATACTGATTCTGAATGTCAAAAGAGGCTGAATCGGCATCCACGGGTTGAATCTTCCGGTGGAAACATTCGCTGTAAAAAAGGGCAGATACATAGGCTTTCTTGCGTTCCGACCTGGCAAATGGAGCAGTTGGGCTGGCCAAAGCAGGGGCAATGGCGCCTCGGTCCAAGGATAAGGACTGTATTGAAAACACTGGTTTCAGCTGAGAAGAAGGCAAAATAGTTGCGCTGATACCGCTTTGCATTTCTTGTGCATCTCCTCTGGAACGCTTGAGCCGAGAACGATCCAGGGAGTGCAAAGACGGCATGATGGCAGTCTCTTGCCCGTCATTATCGCCGCGCGAAGGAAACAGCAAGGGCTGACACCACAGTTCAGTACTCTGTGATTTCGTAGCATCCGAGTCACCACGGTTCATCTTGGCTCGTAGTGCAGTGCGGCGCGGCAGTGCGATTCCGGTATTTGGAGAGCCAAAGAGTCAATGGCTTCGATGAAGGTGGCTGTTGGGGACGAAGGCGTCCGAACAAAGGCTACGCCGCAGTGGTAGATATCCAGAAAGAAATCAAGATGCGCCCACAGAAGCTCGTTGCCTTGTGAAATCGTTGCCGGCGGCTTTCTCTATGCAGCTGATACTTAGCAATTCCAGAAAGGACACCAAAGTCTCGATAGGACGAGGAAAACTGATGATAATGTGAGCAAAGTAAACTCTATTTGGACCAAGGGTGTTGAACAGATGTTGCTGTGATCGGTACCGTGATTGTGAAGCAAGCAACAGCAGATTGCGAGATCGTATGGCTCGTCGTCTGAGTTGTGCTGTGGCTGTTGGGTTTAGTCCTCTTTGGCTTCCGCCGACGTCGACTGGTCTCTCTCAAGTTTCAAGCAGATGGTTCAAAAACCTGCTTTCTTGACCCTCCTCAAAGCTTGAAGCCTCGGAGCCTTCAATACGATTGCGGAGCTCGAAGTGATGCACTTGGACGATTGTTGATTTGGAGGCAGTTTCGGATTTAGGAGAAGCTGTGACGAGGATAATTCTGCGAGAACTTGAGTCTTTTTGATGGCATCGGGAGTAAAATTCTTTAAGTAGTTTTCATGACGTGGGCTTACAATTGTTCTTTACTTTGCCCAGACTTCAACTCAAGCTGCTGCCGCACACGTACCTCATCAAAAGCTCCTTCTTTTGTTTCGAGCTCGCTTCTTTGTCAACAGCTGAAGGCTGATGGCAGCGTGGACGGAGCTGTGGACAGACAGCGCAGAGGCTTTGAAGCTTTGAAGGCTTCAATGCTTGAACGGCGTGCTACATGTAGCTAGAAGGTGGCAGCTAGGTAGAGTCCAGTAGTCCATAACTCCAGTAACATCTTCGTCTCTTGCCTTGCTTGTTCGGGTTGTGCTGTTGATTGGGAACCTACAACCTACATCACCTTCATTCTACTAGCTATTAATAGTACTCTTTAATTACTGCTGCCCACCAACCTGAGACGATTGCCTTCTTTTGTTTGCCCACAAAAAGAACCCCCTCTAGCTGATTGGCCTGAACAAAGCACATGACATTGTGAACAAAGCGCCTGCACCAGGAAAGTACATGTACATGTAAGCAGCTCTGGCTAGCTAGAAGGGTATCGGTAGACTAGTACTAACTAAATAATTGTTTACCCACAGGTAGCTAGCTAGAGGAAGAAGAGACATGTTACCAATTCACCTATCAAATGCTGGGGAATTGGTTCAGAAACAATTCAACTGCAGCCCAACCTGCATTCAACGATCCTTTACTTAGATACATTACCAGACTACTGGTACTTTCAAAGCAATTTTCATCATTGAAAATATCTTGGAAGCTTGGACCCACCGTGCACAAAGAAGATCACCTTTTGTCCGCCCTTCAGCTTCTGTACCCTTTGAGAGTTGATTCTACCACGCAGATCCCGGTCAGATAGCTAGAACGCAATGATTCTCTCTGTCACTTCCCATTCACAAGTGCATCTCGAAGTGCCTCACGGCATGATTCCGTTGCATCCCTCCCTGTTGGTTTCCTCTTTCATCGCAAACCAGTCTGCAGGATGATGGTGCTTCCTCTGGCTAACAGTTCCAGGTAGGAGGAGATTAGCACAGAGCCAACTTTAAAAAGCCAGCCATTTTCACTGGCATTGTTTTTGATCTTGCATTGCTTGTAACACTTAGATTGTGGTGGAATCTGGAGCAATCCATCCTCTTCCTTGAAAGATCACAACGTTTGGACAAGGCAACAAATTCCATGCTGAATGCGACGCACTTACCCAACGGTTTTCCTTGTTTGGGTACTGGCAGACTGCATTGCTTCTTCTATCCACGGGCTCTGGTTGCTTCAGGAGGCTCAATTATTAAGATTGGTGTGGTAACTGGCGTTTCTCAAGCATTGACAGCAAGAGTGGCAAAAATTCACTCCCACGATCAGTGCAGTCGCACTTGAAACTCTAAAGAATTTTTTTAAAAGAAGGCCCCCCACCCCGACCCCGAGGTAATCCTTACCGGTACAACTGTACACTCATCCGAAGTACCGGTACGATACCGGTAGCGCCTGAGATAGCCTTCAACGGGAAACACCCGGAGTTGTTGGATGAGTTTCCATTTCAGGAGGTCCTCTTGCGTCAGACACAGCAATGATCAAGAGCGGTAAGTCACTTCGGGCTGATAAGAGCTCTCATTTTGAATTGGGAAAACAACCGAAATCGCACCATAAAACTAATGAACAAAGATTCCCCATTGGGATGAATTTTTCTTGATCCCTTGTCGCGAAACAAGCCAACCACAGCCGCGCAGCCACGGATCACACTGCATCGATCGATCCTTTACACTTTGCGTGGTGCGTGAGTGTGTGCGTCGTTGGAAGTCGCCCCTAAAGATCGGCATGGTGATGTCGACCTTCCGAAGCTCGGTCGTTATTGGTTCTCCCAAGTCCACTCTTTGGAGGGCTGCCTGTGCCGATGCGCGGCGACCTTCTTGTTGTTACTTAGCGACGTTTGCTGACCACTTCGCTGAACGCAGTACCTGACATTACGGTAAGTAGTGGAGAAAGGAACGTTGTCCACTTTCTGTTTTCTCTTTACAATCTCAGGTGCCACTGATTCGAGGAAGCGCCTCGGAGGCAGCGCCATTGAAGGGCCATATTTGAATTTCCACGCCACACGTCAAGAGAAACTAGAAAATAGCACCTGAGTATTGATTTCCGGTAGGATTTCCAATCCTCCTGGCCTTGCGTCAAGATGGACAGTGCAAGGCACGCACCAGTACCATGCCTCGTGCGCAAAGGATGTGGACGTTGGAGGATATCGATTGTGCTATCCGACCCCGAGAATCACATTCGTTGATGCTGATGGTGGCATCCAACATCAAGGTTGACGCCACAGTGGTTTCATTCTCAACAGGCAGTGAGGATGGATTCATGACAACAACCATCCAACAAGCGACCTCACCTTTGGAACCCATCAAAAGGCAGCATGGTTTACGCGGAGAACGACAAAGATTCCATCTGTTCCAGCTGGGAACTGAGCTTGTATTGCGGAGCGATTCTCCTCATGCATGCCCCAATACCGTCACGACGTGATCCCCCACCATTCTCGGGGAGATTGAATGCAAAGCAACCACCGCTCAAGGGGCTACATGCCCATGCCATGTTTTCCAGCAGCCACCAAATTGAGCCGGTCAACAGAAAGCACCATGAAACCCTGGCGGTCAATGGCCAGCCCTATGTTACAATCCTCGTCCTTGTGAATATCCATTGTGGGACGTGAGATCTCTTCCAGTAACACTTCAACACCTCTTTACCTCCTCGTCCAAGAATATCGACTGTGGGGAGTGGGGATCTCTTTCAGTAACACTTCAGCTCTTCGTGGCTACATGTACTGGGGCGTGTTTTGGACTTCGGACTTCGCTTTGCTGTGCGACTGATGTTACAAACTATTGCTTAACGAAGGTGCTCCTATTGGCACGACAATAAATGGCGCTCAGCTGTGTTAACACTTGTGCTGCTAGTGCTTTGGAGACTCTTAGTCTTCATACTTAAGAGTGGAGTGAAGCGATTCACACAAGGAGCTCACAAGGGCACAAGGTGAATTAAAAAAAGGACTGAGAGAACGTGTACTTCTCCTTTGATCTCTTGAAGACTTGAAGTGTATACTTGGAAGTCAAAACAACTCACAACAAAGTTAATGGGCAGAGTAGGAAGCTTGAATGAGTTATTTAAGTGGATAAATCCATTCACAGTAGTGGTCGTACCAAATCGAGGGTCCAGTTAGTCGAATCACACATTTTTACAAAGGTCGCACACTAACGCAAAGGGCGAGGAGGCTTTGGTTTGTTCCCACCGTACCGGTACCGGTACAGGTACCGGTATGGTGCAGCGTACCTGGAATTCTTGTTATCTATCTTCTCGTTAGACGTACGGTATGATACTGGTAGAGAATAAAACACTACCTGGAGCCAGGTACAGTACAAGTATCACTGCGGACCTCACTATCCAGTTGAGACAGTAGCTATAGAACGAAACAACTCTAGCTACCAGCTGGTACCGTGGCCAATGATAGCTGCCAAAAAGCAGGTACCAAGAGCTACTGAGTAACTGTCACTGGAGTCAAGTCCTTGTAAAGCTTCTACATCTATGGATAGACTACTGTGCCACCTGTACCGGTACATGTAGTACCAGTATTCACTGCTCTTCTAGTACTTCTCCTTTTGTCAGCACCTTGTAAACTGTTGTCGCGCTTATTAAGCTACTGCCAGCTGACAGCTCTATGGAATGGACAACGCCCTCGACGCTGCTTCGTCGCCGTCTCGAAAGTGGGTTCGCAGTCGAGGTGCATGCATTTTTGCATGCAGACTTGTCAGCTGCAGCCAAGAGCCAAGTCGTATCACTGAGTAGAGAACATACTAGAAGCGAGCAGGCCCACCCTGATGGATGTGCGGATGAAAGGAAAGTCTGCTTTAAATCATACTTTCAGGAAACCCTGAGAAAGAGGAGACAGGCTGCCCTACAGAAAGAGAACAGTAAACGATCGTGCATTTTTACAAGTTTGTAAATTGGACGTCCAGTCGTTGTTTTAATAAATATCATCTACATAAGCACTTAGAAACTAAGTTCTCCCAGTTTGTCCTGAATCTCAGATGCACATGTGACAGACAAAAACCATTTTCGCCGTCACATTTTGGAACCAAATTAGCCGCCACATTCTAAAACTCATGATAGGCCTTCGAAAGGAGCTGTAGCCGAAGACGAAGCCAATCTCAAGTTGTTGAAAGGATCATAAAACAGCTCTCCAGAGAACTTGAAAGCATCAAACAAAGTCTCCCACAAAACAACCCACTTACCTCGTTATCAGTCAGAATTCAAAATGGTTGACCGTGGCCTTGGAAATCTTAGCCAAAGCTTCATTCCCTTCTACGGCGAAGTTGCCACAATCGACCAACCCGTCGGTTCCAGAGATCTTCCTGCTGGATGGGTCCCCGACAAATGGTCGGTCGTCTGTGGCAGAGGACGTGAGCCCTTTGAACACGGTAAGTCAAACAAAATGCGTAGCAACTGCCATATGAAATGAAGCAACCAACAATAATCTCATCCCCTGCGTCTCGATCCTTTGGCAAACACAGTCGGCAACAGACGTCTTCGAGTACTAGTAGACTGCCACATGGAAAAGTACGAAAAAGCAACCACAAAGATGAAGAAATCCACAATAGTGACTTCCATTGTGGAAGCAGTTCGAAATGGATCAGAAGTTGGCGGCTTTGTCAAAAGGGTAAGTTCTTCGGCTACTCCTGACTCTAGTTAGCCCGCGATCCAATGACAAAACAACAAAACATCATTTATCTAACATCATCTATTCTATCCCACTTTTGTCAAATAGAATCCAGTGAATGGACAATGGTTTGAAGTCGGGGATGCCCTCGCCAGGGAGAAGGTTGGCCAAGCATTACGCGAAGCCATTGCCGCAATGAACCCTTACAGATACCAAACTAAGAAAGTTCGTCGTAAGCAAAAAACAGCGATGTCAAGAGCCGGTGGCATTGCAGCATTTGAAATTAGCATGCTCAGGAGAGATATTGTAGTCGACCACGAGCTCGAGCAAGAGCTCGACCTGAGCAAAAGCGATGGCAGTCACTCCGCTTCAGAAGAAGTAGCGGCACTTGACGATGTGGATATTGAAGACACCTTTTGCAGCTCCAATCAAACCATTTGAAGGGCACAAGAAACAGAAGGCTCTCCTCAACCTTCTTTTCACCTCGTTTCCTGCAGAGATAGATGTCTCTTCCTTGGCGCCCTCTTCTTCGTCCTCCCACATCTACTGCAATGGTTTGCATCTCCTGCCAGCTGCCAGCAAGCAAGCAAACCGCCTCATTAGATTTACCGCTGCCATTGTCGATCCCAGACTCCCTGATCCCCCCAATCCCATAAAGCGCCTTCCCAAGTACAATTTAATCCTCTAGTACCCCTTTGCATACACCAGCTTTGCCCTGTATGCGATCACTAGCTAGGCCAGAAGGTCTCCCTCCTTTTCTGTCTCCTTTTGTCCACATTCCTTGCCTTGCCACCACCCGTTTTTCTGCTGTCCATGGCGAATGATTCGATTCACGATTGTACCAAGCCTCGGTTTGGTTGGAGAGATAAATGAATTTGAGGGAGATTCCAAAAGCTGATTGATGTGGATGATTTTGTTCTATTGATTTGGATGCAAGAGCCATCAGACCACCAGATGCATGCAGTCCACGGCAGAGCCGAAGACCTGACTGGACGTACGGTACGAGGCGTTCATCGTCCACTGCTTCTTTCAAGGTCGTTCCTTCACTTCACTTCATTGAATGAATCAATCTCCATCTCCATTGATTGTTGCACCCATAAAAAATGAGTGTGTGCCTTTACTGACGATGGCCACGCAGCCGTTTTTGTTGCACCATCCATCCTTTGGAACAACTGTGTGTCCGAGCAGCTCGAGTGCAGCTTTCACCCTGGAGGTGCTTACCGGTCATCGAATTTAAGGCTAGGGATAGGATACCCGATGTATTTGGATACGCAATAAAGTGTTTTTCTCACAATCCTTAGCTTTTACCCACAATTACGAATACGTTTTACCACGTTTTACTACTATGGTTTCTCTTGGAGCCAACACATTGGACATTGACACTGGTAAGCACCAAAAAGAGCCAGTCACTGGTTTCTATTTGGAAAAGGTTTCTACGCAAGTGGATGATTGAACTTCCGAATCCTTCGATTCGATGATTTCCCACATTAGTTTGACATTTTAACAAAATGGCTAAAGTTTTCGAAGTGTTTCCATGTCATATTTCATTCTTTTTACCTAAAAATATACATTAAATTTCCTTGCTCGACACTGGTACCGCCACGGAGCTGCCACTGGTATCAACATACTGTACTAGTCTAGTACCCTTGTTACGTACATCCCAAAGTATCCATGGCCAACATCCGAGCTCACTCTTTTGGACCCAGTTTCATGAAACGATGGATCGATCAATTGGAGAATCGCTCCATTGCCAAAGGACCATGAAAGGCACCTGGCCGGTATGACTCTGAGTATCTCTTTCTTCCTTGACGGAGTTCTGGTTCTTTCGTGGGGGTAAATTTTGGAGGATGGAGGCCGAGGAAGTCAAGGCGACGGCGCGTCAGCTTCGATGAACTCTGATCTGTCCTTGAAGACTTGCGGCCTGAGATATTGGGCGCGGGCAAGAAGCAGTGGCCAGTTCTATTATTGCAGCAGAGACCCACCCATGTGGCTTGGCAGAAATTTCTTTTTGGGTGAAGACTTTTTCGTTTCTGATGCTTGGGGGCGATTGTTCCTTGCCTGCCACCTCGTATACTTTTCGAGACCGCGGTGAGTTCTTTGCTTGTAACTTCGGCTGGCTCGTTTTGTTCCCATCTTGTTGGCGAGTTGTTTCCCCCCTTTTTGGTTGGCTCCATTTATCGAGATAGCTTGTGTTCCGTCAGTTTTGCGTTTCGGTACCCATTGCCTGCTTTCCTGGTTGTGCTTTTGGTTGTCTTGGAAGACAAGAAACGGAAGACTGCGTCGATAGCGTTTGAAGAAGATCCATCCGATGGGAGCAGAATATCTCCCGCGTGCCACCGACAATCTACGGTTCCTATCAGTACATCTCGCCTGGTCAAGGGCAAATGCCTTGTGCGGAGGCTGTCGCTATTACCAAACGCAACCATTATTCATTAGCAACTACCCAACAATAATAACTTTCGACAACACAATGACTGAATGGCTCTATTAGCCCTCTGTTTGGTCAGATTCTTTACAATCAACGACTCGTCGTCACAACAACAAACAACCTGACCTGGTGAGGCCGCACACAACACAATACATACCGGCCGATACAACAACCCGCTGTCCATGGTTCCGTTCGATTCGCGCGGTAGCTAATGTAATCTTGCTTTCTATGTAGTGTAGCGTAGCTAGCTAGGAAGGGGAGTCGGGTCCATTCCAGCTTTTGGGAATGGAAGGCTCCCTGTTCTTGGCAAGCTACAGGTAGATAGAATGAAAGTATGTTTGTTTCTGATAGTTTTGATGTTTAATAGTAGTATGAATAGATCTTAAAAACTGATTTGTTTTGTTGGAAGTAGGATGTTGGAGTCGGAATGACTGCTGCCGTCGTTTAACCCCTGATAGCTAGCAGCCACATGAACAAGTGGTGCGCTACCGGTATGTTTAGAAGGACAGATCGGGAAAGGCGAATACACTGGGGTTTGCAAACGCATGGTCCATGTCAATGGGAAGAGGGTCTGCGTCAAACAAGTCTGCTACGCGGCTGAATTCGATTTGCTTGGCGGTCAAAGCAGGCATTGGTGCTGGCATGACACTGTCAGATTCAGATGATGCCACACTGCTTCCAGAGGAGGATGTACCGCAGCATGAGGAGTTATCGGATTGTTGTTCCTCGGAGGAAGTGGAGCAGTCAGAGACAGACTTGGCGGATGACAGTTGTGTTGGCTGCTGGATCTTGCTCTTGTTCTTGAGTGCTTGAGCTCTTCGCTTGTCCTTGCGGGCATTGAGCTTTTCAGGGTTCTTGCGCATCATGGCTTCGCGGAGCAGTTGGCCAATCTTTTCGCGGGCCACAGAGTCTCCAACTTCGACCCATTGCTTGGTCTTTGTGTTCTGTTTGACAAAGCCTCCAGTGGAAGAGGCTCCTCGAACGGCATCGACGATACTAGAAACGATAATGGTCTTTTCGAACTTGGACTTGGTGGCAGAGTACTTGGGAAGATTGGACTCTACAAGAACACGGAGTCGGCGGTTGCCAATGTGATTGTAGCACTCCTTGCCGCGTCCACAGATCACAGACCAGTTGTCAGGCGCAAAGGACTCTGGAAGTTTCTTGCTCTTGACGAGAGCTTTGATGGTGATCTTCTCATCAAGGAATTGGATTTCTTGTTGCTTGAAGCATCCACGGTCAACCATTTTGATATTTGTTGTTGTTAGTAAAAGAAAGAAAGAAGAAGGTAGCGTTGTTGCTGTTGTTGTGGTTGTTGCTGTTTGCGTTTGTTGCGAGCTGATATTGTGAGACGAATGCTCTGCTCAGAGTTCCGGACAGAGGGGAAGGAGTGAAGCAACAAGGGAGGCCCAATTGCTGCCCAAGTGACCCAAGAGCTCCCAAGGCAAGCACACCTTTTACATTACCCGAGTATCAAGTTCGTTGGGTTCGTGTCAAAACCGAGCATAATTAAGAGCACAAATTTTACTGCTAAGTTTCTGTACCTTTTAGGACTGATATTAATGCCTTGTTATTAAGAATTCACTCTGAATAGCTAGCCAGTATCCAGCTGGCCACCCCAAATGTTTGTTCTATTCTATGTGTGCAATCTCCAGTGCTGAGTAGATCTAGACTACATGTTGTGGTACGAATGAAGTGTCTCGGTGCTGGAATTACTTGTTGGGGGAGTTACGAATGTGGGTATCAATCTCTGGCACCGGCACCACTGGAAAAACGCTAGGCGCTACCTAGGCTCTAACACGTCAACTACAGTGTACCTAGCTTAGCTAGTCTAGCCAGCGCTATTGGTACGGTAGATATCTAGCTAGTGGTCGGTGAAAATAATCTGGTCTGGTGATGGTGCTAATAGCTGGCAGGATGTACATCGTACTACCGTACATGTGCGTAATTGGCCATCCAGTTCTGGTGCTACCGGCAGCTATGTATGGCCAGCGCTGCATACTAGTGCCTCACAGTGGGGGGTGGACTGGGATCCGTGGATCGCGGATGCTATCCGTGCTACTTTGAGCTTGTCTAGTGTCGCAACCATGGCTAATATTGAGGATACCAATATAGACACTATTGCTCTTTATAGTTAGGAGAGTAAGAAAAAGCAATCCCTTCTTGGCTAGCTGCCCATTGTTGTTGTGTAATAGTAGCTCACATTGTGCGGATGAGTGCTCACATTTTGCTCCCTCCGACCTCCGCGGATTGGCGATTCCTATAGTAAAACAGTACAAATCCGCTGACAAGTCCTCGAAGCGCGACTGCAATCAAGATCGTGTCCACTAGTAGTTGTTGAATGGATGAGGATGCTTGTTGACATGGACGGAAGCTCCTTCGAACGCACTCTGAAGCTCCAAAGCAGTCTCCTTTGCTTTGTGGTCATGGCGGTCATGAATAAGGGTAAGCTGGAGAGCCGTCAAACCTGTAAGATTGGCCTCGAACGCGAGGAAAACAGATCGACCACGGACATTGGTAGTGTTGTTGCTTTTGGCTTTCTTGGCAGTCTGCTTCCATTTGATTCCATCAGGAAGAAGAATCGATCCTTGAGCTGGATTGCCCTTGGTGTTGGGTCCATCAGCATCAATCACTTCGTCGCCATCGAAAAGGAGACGATAGAGTGTTGTCTCTCCGTACTGCTCGATAATGAAAGATCCTTGCACACGGTGACAAATGCCGAAGCCAGCAATGAATCGACAAACCATACTGCTGCCTTGATGTTCTTGTTCATCGAAGACAAAGATCTCATGCCACTGTGCATGATTTGGACCCAGGATAATGTGACAAACCGAAAGGATGCTGCGTGCAACAAAGCAAACGAATGAGTTAATGCGTTCAGACAAACTGGACAATCCATGGCTGATCCAAGACATCCAAGCCTGGAATTGATTGAAAAAGGAATCAAGATGAGGGTAGACCATCGTGGGGAGATGCTGGGAAAGAGAGGAAGCTTTGAGAAGTGGGACACTCGAATTGCCAGGAATGGAGATCGAGCCAGCAACGAAATCACTCACCGTGGATGAGAGACTCATCAAGCCCGTGTCTGCTTTGATTTGAACAGGACCAATGCTTTCAGTTTGAACAGGGGAAGAGCATGCATCATTGGATTCGGAACTGTATTCCTTCACTCGAAAACCGAGGGAAAAGGTTGGAGTGGCGCCAAGCCAACTCCAGGAGAATTGAATAGGCCATCATCGATCCCTCACAAATCGACCATCACCCCTCACAACTCGACAACAATCATGCCTCGCTACTCAATGACCAACTTTGCCTTCAACATCAGGTTTGTTGACCCGTCGGGTCGCTCCCGTCGTGTCTTGGGTCATGGTAACCCCGGGAATCTGTTCTTAGATTTCCAAGACCTTGACCGCTTTGGGGCCGAGATTCTGCCCAGCTCCGACGATGACAGCTCAGTGGAAGAAGTCGCCCCACCCGCTGCAGCCCCACCAGCCGAAATCGAAACTCCACGTGTCAAGACCAAGACCAAGACCAACAAAGGAAAAAGTGATGTGGCGGAAGTAGTGGACCTCCTCAACAGCAGCGGATCAAGCAGCGGATCAAGCACTAACGTCGATGATCTTTCTGCCATCGTGCCACCTGAGGAAGAGCAAGCGGAAGAAGAAATCGAAGATGAGGTTGAATTCATTGGCCGTCGACTTGATCAGAGTGTCAATCTTCAAAACGAGTCTGACACAAGCTCCGACTACTCTGTTGCCCATGGATTCTCTCAGGAAGCCCTCTTGGCCCCCACTCCCGTTGCTACTCACCGTCGCAGCCGCCGTGTTGCTTCTCGCCGTCGTTGATTTTGTCATTGTCGAGGCCTTTGATCGATCGAAACTATTCGCATGCTGAGAGAGTGTGGATGGTGGATTGTGGTCTGTGGTGCCAGTGCTGTTCGCTGCTTCCGCGATCTTTTTTTTTCAATCCCAATTTCATGCCTCTATTTCTTTTAATATTGAAGCTTAATTCTAAACCCACAAATCTACTCAAATTACATGTTTCCAATAGTCTTTGGATTTGACTGTGACATCGGTGGCACTTTGCATCTGCGGCCAAACAAGGCAATCCGGCAATTTTGCGAGATGGCAAGGCTCCGCACTCCCGTATCACCGATAGTCAAGCACAAATTTCGACCATACACAAGCTTTTAGCACCATCAGATCTGTAGAAAAGAGATATGTTATTGATTATCTGTTCTGTAGATTGCTTTGGTTTGGCTGACGTCTCGGTCCTGGTCGAACGGCTAGCTCTTTCCGTGAGTGGTGCGAGCTTTCGATCGGATTACACTTGCTTTCGCATACTGTATTGAATTCCTCTGCTCCATCACAATCAAGATGGCGAAAAAGCGCTTCGATCGGACCGCCCGGGTGTTTTTGCGCAAGGGAAATGTGCCTGCTGTCATCGCAGAGGCAATGGGCAGTAAGAAATGGAAAGTGGAACTCGTCGACGCAGACACAGGCGAACCAACCGGTACCTTCATTGAGAATTTGAGCTCCCAGGCGCTCCGGCATCCAAAAGATGATTCTGAATTCCCCACTCCAAACAGGAAAGAGGATAGCGATGACGATGACGACGAACCCACACCAGCGGAGGTGGCGGCAACCAGTGAGCCAGGTGGGGAAATCGAAGTGGTCCTCGATGAAAACAACCAACTCCCCACAATCACGGAGGGAGCATCTGCCTCCGACGATGAGTCTCAAGTTGGGTCTGTTGGCTTTCCTGTTGACGAGGAGGAAGCAAAGCAAGAACGTGAGGAGGATGTTTCCGTGACTACCGTTGACGAGACAGCAGAAGCAGACGACGAACAAACCGTGGCGACCGAGGATGCTGACAATGCAATCGAGGAAGATATTCCTGCTTGGCTCCAAGATGCTGAATTCACAGAAGAACAACACGTCTTCAATGCGACCGACTTTGTTGCAGCTCGTGGAATTGAAACCGATGACTCCAAGCACAAAGAAAAGTGGGACAAATATCAACGCGAAAAGCAGCTCCTCCTTGATCAAGACTGGAGTGTCTTCTGCAAACCTCCACGGAAGCAGAAGATTGAAATTGGAGAGTGTGTGGTTGAGAAGAGAGGCCGAAAGCGAAATGGCATTGTCGTCGCAGATAACAGAGAACCTACCGACACAAAACCATACTGGTCCATCCTTTTTGAAGGCGAAGACACTCCAGAGCAACGTGTTGCCTCCACCTCACTCAAGCTCATCAAAGACAAGCGGATCTTTGAATGGAAGATTGTCGAATCATCATCGCCTGACAATCCCGTCCAGCCAGCTAGACACTCAATGTTGGAGGAAACATACCTGACACCTCCATCTAAGAAGCGCATTTTGGGCAAAGTGGATATTATGGGGAAGGTGCACAAAACGCTGGATCAAATTTTAGCGACTCATTTATGTGGGTCCCTTATCATGTCGAAGGGCATTATTTTACCCAGCCAAAAGCGAGCATACTGCTTTGGAAGCTGATGGTTTGGAAGCCTACAACCAATACAAGAAAAGGTGAAAGAGGCCCATTCCAGTGCCCAACCGGGCAGCATTATCAGTCTGGAGCAGAAGACCCTGGAGCTTTTGCGCATTGCAAATGGGCACACCTGTGGCTCCCACAAGCAACAGCCGAAACTCAACAAGGCCAACAAGCGCAGAGCCAAGAACGCATTGGAGCCGCTCCAGCCTAAAAGGCCAAGACGGTTACCACTTTGGACGATGAAGATGACGATGCTTACATGTGAGAGCATCTTTTTTTGGCCCATTTGGGCATTTCTCGGCCTCTGATGGATTTTCTGGCCTGGTTTCTGAAACAGGTTTGGGCAAGTCGGCAAATCTTTTCATCCAATTGGACATTTCTTCTGCAGTGTTTGCGTCACGTTCCTGTGACTTTCGGCGAACTGTTTCTGCAACAACCAAAGACATTTCTGCTCAGCCCTGCTTTCTATGGCCCTCTCCTACTAAATGGTACTGTTCTCTGAGCTAAAAACTAAGTTAACGATTATCTAGTTGTAAACTGCTTTGTCATTTTTGTCGTAGTCATGTTCACTTGGGCAAAGTAATGACGTATAATGTAGGTATGGTTGTGTCGGCTTGTGCACGGGATCTTTGGCGTCTTGCATGCAATTTCAGCGCCATTGGGTAAATTCTGTGATGCCCCTTTGCGGCTGGTGCTCACTATTTGTATGCATTTGCGCAAAATGTCCGGGGACTCCGGCAAAGCTACGTGCCGTCCTATCACTTACCCAAGCTCACCTTTTGGAGGCATTTGCGCCAAATATCGACGCACTGGCAAAAAGGGGCGTACCGCCAGATCTCTGTACGGAGCACACCTTTTCGACGCACTTCCACAAAAATATGACCGACTCGCAGGGACATTATTTTTGTTCATTTGGGCAAAATGAGCTGTGAACGAGTACATGGTTTGGCGTATG